GATTTTTTTCCATCTTTCCATCCGTTGTTGCTCTCCAAGGCCCTGGTGCGAAATCCATCATGTGTTAAACACCATGTTATAAAGAAAAGTGATGAGTCACCACACGGTCCTCTTAGTTTAGGTCAGCACAACGATGTTCTCAGAGATGGTCGTGACTCCATCTGTGTCATTATGTCATTTCCAGCAATTACTCTGTGACATCATCTCAACCCCTGAAAAAGGTCAGGGTGAAAACATGTAGGATGGAGCGTGTACTGTAAATATAGATAAACACCTTCATCATCACAGCTACCTTCATAAACACTCGCTGTTGTTTCCCTGTAGGTGAGAACCTAATTTAATGCATTTTTTAAAAAGGTATTATGCATTGCATTTAAATAAAGATCTAATTTTTGACCTAGCGGATGTGGTGATTTAATGCGATGCTGAGCAAGGCTTTGTAGATGTGACAAGAGATAGCAGATAATTAGTTATCCGCAAGTTAATAAAGCACTCAGGGCAGCAGTGATGGATAGACAGTCCTTTAACAAACTGTGATTCCCCGACCAATTTCCATGGTGGCGAGTGCAGTATTGACAATCTGTCTTTAAGTGTTAGGTCTCTGCTGATGTGTAGGCAGAAGCCTTTGTGCAGCTTGTGTGTGTGAGTGTACTGTTCCTGCATTCGTCTGCCCAACTGTCTGTGTGGTATTACAGTGCAGATTTCCGCCGCTGCTTACACTCATGTGGCTGTCAGACAGAAATAGTCATCAAGGTAAATAGTTTGTGGTGTGTTGGTGCTTACAGGAAGCCCGCAGCCACCTTTGGAAGTCTCCCCAGAACCCCCAGTCCAGTTTGTTTTGTGTGCGTTTGATTAATAAAAGGTTAACTCAACCCTCAGTCAACTGTTAAGAGAGGCATGTAAATCTCCCCCGCAATCTCTTCCTTCCTCTGCCTTTCACTCCTCCCTTTGTCTCTTCCTTTGCCACACCTTCCCCTGGGGGATGCAGGGATTGTGATTGGAGAAGAGGTGGGGCTCCTGGCACAAGCACAGGTGTGCTCGTTTCCTCCCTTCTCCTCTCTCTCATGTAATGATTTCTTCAGCTCGCCACCTGCCAGGTGGAAAAAACACCCACAGCAAATGGAGCGCTTTAAAATGGCCTCCTGGCTTCCGCCTTAAAGGATTTTCTTTTTTTCTTTCTTTTTTTTTTCTTATTGCTTGTACAAACACTCCATTTTCATCCCTTTTCATTATCCATTGACTACCTTTAACTCAATGAAGTCTTCCTGAAACTACTTGTTTACATTTTGCGTCACATTCAAATGACGGCTCCTGGCTCTGAAAAACTGTCCACCAAGGCTCCCCCACTAGCTTTTCAGATGATCAGAACCTGGCTCTCTAGCACCATTCTCTCGACGCCACTTCTCGCCTCGCCCTTTGGAGCTGCCTGGAGGGTGGCGTAGAGCAGGTCCCAGGACCCGAGAGGTCAAAGTTCACTCACCAACAATGGAATCTTACTCTGGGTCAGATGCAGTCAAGGAAACAAAGGCCAAGGATTGGACAAACTTCTGTGACAAGGAGACAGAGGGATGAAGATGCATAGAGCAAAAGCCAAAATGAGACGTGGAATGAATGCACTGAAAACCTTTCTCATACATTTACCCAGGCACATACACTCACACACATAACTGTGCAAATTTTGCTTTCACACACACTAAAATCTGCCAAAGCTGTTGCTTAAGCCCATAAAACAACTTAGTCAAAGTTTCTCAGGCTACAAAAATCTGTTTCCCAACAGTTCTCTCATTGTATTTCTTGTCTTTAAATAATAATCGCTTAGAGAAACAGCACGCTTCAATATCACAACAGTTCAGGTAAAACCAGAACTTTTTTCCCTTTAACCTCTCTATATCTTTTCATGTTGCTCCAACTTGTTCCTTCCCCTCCCCCACGCTGCTGTCTTTCTCCTCTCTCTCTCTTTTTTTTATTCACTGCCATTGATCATGCATGCAGAAATTCAGTACACCCAACCACGGCTCCAGCCAGGATAGGTTAGCTAGTGCAAGGCCCTGTCCTACATACTGTTCCCTCGCTATGGTCCGCCAGGCCAGTCACACCCTCCCCCTGACCTGCCTCTCCTCACTGACTCCCCCCCCCCAACCACTGCCACACACACACAAACCCCCCGCGGCCCATCTCAGAACCAGCACATGCACAGATCATCATGCGGTGGTGGGAAAAGTTAACTCTTCATGACTGAACACTTTTTAGTCAGGTGCAGGGTTGTGTTTGATCATTGCTCAGTCTGTCCTCTAACTTGCAGCTCACACACAGAGACAAGGGATTGCTTGCTGATGTGATCGGAGTTGACAGAAAAAATAGTATTTATGGATTATTATTGTTTGTAGTATTTTTAATCTCGGCCAATAAAGCTCAACAAAACAACCTGGGCCCGTAGCTTTGACAGCAGCATGCTGTTAACTTTTAGTTTCCAGTGTCTGAGTTTTAATGTGGTGAGTGAAAACAAGTGCACTTCACGCTCCTTTGTGAGCGCTACACTTGTTTCACTTTGGCCGGAGCAGCTGAGGTATGTGACGAAACTGCCTCAGCTGACCAGGCTGACCGCGGCCAAGAGAAAGGCTGACTTAGAAGTAAAGCTGCTAATCTTCCACTTAGCTAGTTAGGGTGGCCTGTCATGTAGTAAGACAGAGAGAAGGTGGTTAGGTAGGGTTAACTTTAGATGAGGGTAGTACTGTGATTGGGTAACTGGATGAAGAATTGATGACGGGTGAAGAATGCAAACAGGCAATGCTTGATTTGATGGGAGGGATGGCTGTGGGTGCTAGGTTGAAGGGAACAAGTGGACTAAGGGTGAATGAGGGTTGGCTCAGGCATAGATGGTTTATGGATGGAGGGTAATTCAAGAAGAGGGACTTCATGATGGTTTAAAAGACTAATGATTGTGAGGGCAAGGTTAATGACAACAATACAAATGAACTAGGACAAGACATTCAACATCACATTGCATAAAAGAGATGCACACACGGATGAGGCACAACATTAAAACCACTCGCCCAATATTGTCTCATTTTTTCTCGTGCTGATAAAAAAAGCAGTGTTCGGTCATCGATCTCAGGAATATCCCCTGGTGTCTGGAACTGGGATGTTTGGAGGGCATCCTTGTTTGCTGTGGTGGCATTTTGGGATTGAATTCAGAGGTTTCAGGAGTCGGGTCAGTTCATACCTTAAGTCAGGGATTCCAGACTAGAAATGCTGCTCTAGTCAATGAAAGAAATGTGTCACTGTTTGGGCTTAAACTGTAAGAAATAAATAAAAAATGTTGTTAGCTCGTTGACCAAACTGCCCTGTAATTATAAAACTGAAACAGAAAATTTCATTTTATTTTGGACATATTGTAAAAAAAATAGAAATTTCTGTAGTTTTATAATGGCACTTCTGGCTTCTGCTTTAAAGGATTGTTTTATCCAATTGAAAAATAAGGAAGTGATATGATAAGGTGTGATATGAATGGGAGGACTTCATCAGAAAAAGCTGGAAAACTTATTAAAAATACATTTAAAAACCCAAAAATTTAAGCCCTCCTTCACAATTTGTAAAGTCATCCAGTGGACCAGACTGGACTCTTTGTCGGGCTGATTCTGGTCCCCAGGCCTTATTTTTGACACCTCTGCCTTAAGTGTTCCCTGAGCCATTCCTGTCCAATTAGTATGGTTGGAGTGTGCTGTTGGTTCAGCAGCCTGAAATGACATGATGAAGGTTATCCACTTCACCTATCAATCAGTATACATTACATCACATTAATAAAATTGCATTACATTGTATAATATCACATGATACATCACTATGGCACTGATTACATTATATATAAGATCAAATAACATCCTGACATTGTAGGCCCAAGTTTAAATCAGATCATATATGATCACATTTAATTATGACTCAGTGAGATCACGTGTGAGAACCAATATATAACACAGATAGAAAGCAGGACCTCGCTGACATATGCAATATGAAAATAAAAGAGCAGCTTCCAGTCAGCGATGGCTGTTTCACAAACTGTATCCTGGTTACAGATGCTTCATGTCACCTGAGGCCTAACCTGGCACCACAGGAAGCCATTTTTTTCCATTATGTCTTCCTGTAGAGCAGCCCAAACCTTGCTCATATATTAAGCTGATATGAAGAGATTACTAATGAGTGACAGAGACCTAACAAGCAAATTAAAAAAAACAACAATAAAAAACAGTTTTAGCACACAAAACCTGTGATGAATTCTGTGCGTCCTAAATCAGATCCTTGTCTTTGAAATGTTTATTTATTGAATCGTTCTCTCGTCCGAACATTTCAAGACATCCAGGAGGGTATTAATGGGCCACGCTGTTGTGATTCAACCAATGACGAGAACGGCGGGGAAACACTACACAGAGAGCGCCACTGGCAGCATGAATAAAAGGCAGGCAATGCGCGCAGGAGGGGAGGTCCGAGGCCCCGGGTAGGCTACGGGAAAAGGAGGTAGAGGCGGAGTCTGTCTGTGAGCGTATATGCATCTGTGCGCTTCCTCGCTCACCCCTCCTCTTTTTTTTCTTTTTTAAACCACCCCACCCCCACCTCTGCTGCCCCCTCCCCCCTTCACCCCCCTTCCCCTCTCCCCGACCCCTCCTCCTCCTCCCCTCCTCCCATCGTGCTTGCCCGCCCCTGAGTCTGGAGCAGCAGCAGCAGCAGCAGCAGTGGAGCTTCACTGCCTCTCCTCGCCTCACAGTGCGGGAATATACCAGCGGAGAGCAGAATGGATACGGAAGGGAGCCAGAGCAGCCTGTCCTCCGGCACGGACAACTCCCCCCACGACCCCTGGTAACAGCCCGAGTCCGTGCGCCCGTGTTTCGCTCGCCTCTCGGCCCGGTTTGAGTTCACCTTGGACTTAAGTTGAGTTCAGTGCGGGGAGCGAAGCCGCGCCGAGACAAAAGACAAGCACGCTGTGTGTGTATGTGTGTGTGTCTCTCTCTCTATGTGTGGGATGGATAGACTCAGCGGAGGAGACGCAGACGCACCGCTTGCTTTCCGCCTGTTATTTCTCTCTCCCTCCCCTCCTCTTGTTTGTTTATTTTTCTCGCTTTTCCACCAGAAGGCCACATTGTAACTTCTCTTCCATCATCTGGAAAATCCTCTCCTTTTTTTCCTCCTCCTCCTCCTCTAGGGGATTATAACGGCCCGACTGGCCGATTGGTGACTTCGCAACATGGCCGATGCTTTCTTCTTACTTTATTGATGCTATATTACGCACAGATCCTCCAGATCCCCCCCTTCACTCCACGAATGTGCATGTGTTGTGCTTAAAAGACGCTTTGAGAAAAAAATCTGTGACTTACAGCTTCTGTTTCTCTCATTCAGCAAAATGTTCATCGGGGGTCTGAGTTGGCAGACAACACAAGGTGAGCTGTCCCGCACGCTACTTTAATAAGTCTGGATGAAAGCCTCCTGTTTACTCCTTTTAAAATATAACGTTTGCTCTAATAATAGCTGTGGCGATAACCTGCGAGGCTTCTTGAAGTTTTAAGGAGAAACGCGGTGAACAGTTCAAATCAAAGCCTCCTATTCATTAAGGATCAAGCTCTAGGTTTAGAGTCGGGAGACGCAGGAGATTAATCGTGCGCACACGACGACTTGTCTGCCTTCCTTTCCTGTGCACTCGTTACACTCTTAATAACCCGAGGAGGGCATTCAGAGTAGAAAAAAGGAAAAAAACACTAAAGTGATCGATTAATCAGCGTTAAAGCTGGAAGTTGGGCTCGTCATCATGGGCCACGATAGTGTTGTTGTTTTCCTTATTGGTAGCACTCCGCTCAATTCATTCATTTATTCGAAGAGCCGTGAGCGCAGGCTGACGCACGGGCACAGTTTAGTCTTGTTGCGACGGCCCGTGTTATTATCTCCACTGCTGCTGCTTCTGCTGCTGCTGTGTCAAAACAGCGAGCGTCACCAAGTGTGTAGCTTTGTTTGTGGTCCGCAGGGCCTAATGGGGCTGGTTGTGCTGAATGGCCAAAGAGAGCCCGGTGTATAAACCTCGGCAGGACACACGCACACAAACACAACGTGGTCCGCCCGACCCCCATTGTCTCGCTTCAGCCACTGCACAGCACACCAGGGCCCTGTTTAGAGAGAAATCCTTCTCTCATTCCCTTCCCCTTTAACGGTGTCTCCCCGGTGTCTTTGCAGAGGGCTTGAAGGAGTACTTCTGCAAATTCGGCGAGGTGAAGGAGTGCATGGTGATGCGGGATCCCGTTACCAAGCGGTCGAGGTAAGAAGGAGGCGTGTGCGCTCCGGCGTCCTATCACCGGATGCCTCATGCTCTTCCATGCTTTTCCATGAGAGCTGTCGTGAGTTTGCATTCTGATTTTGTCACTTGCGTGTGCTTTCTCCCCCCCGCGTTTTACAGAGGGTTCGGCTTTGTAACATACACAGAACAAGCCGGTGTGGAAAAGGTTTTGGCACAAAACAGACACGAGCTGGATTCTAAAACGGTGAGTTTTTAAACTTTTGAAGTGGATGGTACAACTTGGGCAACTTTTCTTTCTTTGGGAGTGTGTAGCCTGTTTCTTCCCCCCCACCCCTTCTCTCTCTCTCTGGGTGCATTTTACCTCCAACCCTATGGCTTGTAAAGTTGAGGAGTGCATTTTGGAGCCCACACCCCTCCTCCTCCTCTCCTCTTCTGCTCATTTCCCCCTCCAAATCCTGGTTCAGGGCGCCAACATGAAAGCGTTCTTTCTTGGTCTTCATTGCCATGGTTACCTGGGGACCTGAATGGGGTAGGAGCCCCTTTGCAAAAACCCTCACAGGTTTTTATGCACAGTAGAGAGTTCACAAGTTTTTCCCCTTCTTCTTTTTTTCATAGGAAATAGCAAGTGATACGTTTTTTTTAGTGGCAGCTCTCAGAGTTTTTTGGGGGTGGCAAGAAGTGTGGGAGTGGATTCCAAAACTGATGGCAGGGAGAAGGAAGACTGTGGGGTCAGAGCAGCTGAATTTAAATAGTGATGTAACTCCGAGATTTGTGAGTGTGTGTCTCTGTGATTTCCCCCTCCTACACTGCTTAAACATGAACAAACAAATGTGGGCAAATTTTACAAACCACTCACCAAACCAGAGGACAGGCAGCACCCTTGTGTTCAGGTAATTCATATTTTTGCGAGAGACAGTGACTTGGGCACGAGTGCGAATCTTTTTGGTTTGTTTTGGTGAGAACCCGAGGCCCACATTTGAATATCTATTAAAGTGTGAATGCCTCTGTCTTGGTAATGCAGATTGGTTGTAGGATTGGGGACTGGGTGTGTCTTTGCCAGCTTGTTGTCTTTCCTAACCACACACACAATAGGATCATTTGAGAGTGAAAATCGGTGGCACAGAAAGTCAGCAGGGCCCAGGGGCAGAGGAAAGGTAGAGTTGGTTAGTTTGTTGGAGCAGGCCTGTTGCTGGGGGTGACGCCAGCCTCAGGAGACGGTGCTGTAACTGCACAGCCCAGTGGGATTTATGTCTCCATAACAACTTCTCAGCTATTTTGCATTGACTTAAGATTTGGTTGATTGGGTGGCACAAAGATAGTGTCAAGTTTTGTTGGGCATTTATAAGTACGCAAGATTATGATATCATGTTTGTTTTTTTAAGTGAGACTCTTCATAATTTAGAAAGTTTAAAGATGCAGTTTTGTGAAATAATCAGACCTTCAAGCACCACCGCTGGAGGTCCTGATATTTATTACAAAATGAGCGCTGCTGCTGGTAATCTCTCCATATTTTTTTTTTTATTATTCCTTTTTCACCTTCCTTGGAAGTAGGTTCTAAGAAGCTGCAAAATATTACTCAGTGAGTCATGTTACCTCTTAAAACTAGGTGCTGCCAGAGCCTTTGAGAGCCAGACCCTCTGTATTTGTGTGTGTGTGGGATGTGAACGCTGGTTTTGGACGCCTCTGGTAGCTCAGCTTGGCAGGCCACTGGTGGGGTTAGGCGTTGCCCTATTATAAACCAAAATACGGCATAAGGCTAAACAATAATAATGTTAATGACTCAAATGCAAGGCTGGGTTGCTCAGGTTGTTGTGGCAGCAGTCTGCGGGGGGAAGCGTGCCATGGTACCATTTATCCAACAAGGCGTTTTAAATGGGGGGTATGGTTGCCATTTTGTTGTTCCGTTTTGGAAATTTGAGCCCAGAATTTATTTGTTGCAAATCTCATATTTGCCAAATTGGGATGTATTTTCTTTTTTCTTGCCTTGCTTGTAGCTTAATTCTCGAAACGCTACACAAAACATATTTGAGAGAACGTTTTTGCATCACACCTGGAGTCTCCCTCTCCACAGTATTGTTTGATCAGCCTGAGACGTGAAAGAGGCATTCCTCACAGGCACGAGGAAGAATATTTGATGCTGTGATGTGTATGCCTTGTTATGCTGAGCTTTGGTTTGCGAGAAAATATGTGAAAGGCATGAAGCGGGGACGGGCGATGTGAAAAGGAGAAAATGCACGGGGTGAGAAGTCAGGTGCAAACTAACCGGTGCAAGGTCCACGCTGCTTGGTTAGAAGCGGTATTAAACATTTACAGTCCTGTTACATCGTGCTAGCTGCCCTCGGAAAATGAAAGTCACAGGTTAAAATATGAAGTGAACTCTTGTAATTGTTCAGTTATAATGCAATAAGGCTGTCTGTTGTGTTCAGTGAGAGGGTCTGTCGAGGTTGTTGTTTTTGTTCGAGGTTAGATTTCCTGTCGGGGGCAGAGTGTGGCCTCGGGGCATTGGTGTGCTGCTGTATTTCCCTGGCCGGAGAAGAAGGGCACAACTGGTATTTGTTTTCTTGGAGAAAATGCTTCACTGGAACCGGTTACGGGAAGAAGTAAAAGACGAGGCCAGATATTCTCTGAAAAGAGACCACTTCTCGCTCCCTCTGTGCGGTGATTTCAGATTTTTAAAAAACTGTGGTGAATTATGGTTTTTGGTGATTAGTGTGATTATTTGGCATTTGCTATTTCTTCACAGGGAACTCTGTCTCTCAAAACGACCCCCTAAAAAGCCCAGTGTAGTGCTGAATACAGGTTACTGAAAACATTTTTAATAGAAGGCACAGACAGATAAGAAACACACTGATTATTTTTATTTTATGTGATTTGTTTTTAGCGCAAGTAAGCTGGAATGTCCTTTTCAAGGTGTTTTATATAGTAGGTGGAAATTGCTGCTTTTGGCGCGACTTGTCTGCGAGGCTAAAGAAGTCGTCAGCATTGTGCTAATATAGCCGCTTTCATCTGTAGCCCATGACATATGTTAGCAGCAGCCACTGTGGGCCACAGGCCCCATAGTCTGCAGTTGCTAGTGGTCTAACACCTGGTTAGTGGAGAGTTTAAATGCCAGGATGGGCTGCTCGCTCCTGATTGGAAGATTAGCTGTTAATGCTGACGTGCACGAAACAAGGAGAAGGGGGATGGAGAAGGTGAAGAATAGGAGAGAAGGGAAGGCACTGTGCTGTAATTAGTATGGATCTGTAAAGCAACTAATCGGATTGAATGAAACAAACTGGATTGGGCTCCTGAGGTCCGTGCACGACATCAGATCCGGGATAAAGCTTGGAGCAGCTCTGAAGGTGGAGCGAGAGAGCTCTCTTGTCATGTTAAATGTACACAAACCCCCACCCCCCACCCCACCCCAACAGTAAACACAACCGAGCACAGCAGCCACACGGGTTAGGCGCTCACATAGAGGGTTACAAGCGGTAGGGACGGGGTTAGGTTGGAGGACCTCATTAGTGAGCTTCGTTAACTAATTACTGTGCCATTCTTCAGCTGTGCAGATTGACCCGGCTGGCCTGAGCCCAAACCAAGTCTCCCTCTTACACTGTGTGCATGTATTGACATGTCAGCCCCTTTCGTGTCCTTGGGTGTTTATAGCTTTTTGTTAAGCTCATATTGATTATTTTGTCATAATGACGGTAGCCCGTGGTGTCTTTTTATCAACGTGGTTGCCCTTTTCTTGCGAGAATGTCTTGGAAACTCGGCCAGTGTATCAGAGCTTGAATGTCTGTGTGTATATGCTTGTGTTTTCACCTATGAACTTTGCACGTATGTCACTTTGTATCCTCGTGTTAGCGTTTCCACTCTCGCTGCATTGTTTGGGTGCTTGTGAATGTGTGTGTGTAAGTGTATATGTATGTGTGCCTGTGGGGGTAGCACGGGAGCCCCAGTTCCTCTACGGGCCCATCTGTTTTGTACTCTTTGTCCTGTTAATTAATGAAATCAGAGGGGCTGCCTGCTGGGACTGCACCACCACACTGGACAGGCCCGCTTTCTCTTGGGCTGACTCTGTTTTCCAAATGAATGCCTTCTCTTTCTCTCTGTGCTCTCTCACCTTTACACGTACGCATCTACTGGTTTGGCATTTTTTTTAAATTTTTTTTCAAAATTTATTCATGCTTTGATTTTTGTTTTCCAGTTTGTAACACTGGTGGACACGCCGCGCCCTGCGAGGTGACTATTGGTCGTAGATTAGAGTAGTCTTAAAAGCTAAAACCACTAAAATCATACTGCAGGCTCTGCTGTCACTACGCTGCTTAGAATGAGCGGAGGTTGGATGTCATGAAGCAGGATGTTAGACCAGTTCATGAACACTCAGTTATAACTCTTGTCTGTCAAGTCTGGGAAAAGCACCTTTTTTTTTTCTTTCTAGAAAGGTTTTCACATTTTTCTTGAGTAGTTACGCTTTCACCAGTATGATTGGGAACGCTACGTGGCCGAGCTTCTTTTTAAATGTCAAGCCACCGAAGAGCTATTTCTGAGTGTTGCAAACAGTGACCTGGCTAAGTCATTTCACTTTTTGCTTTGTGGCCTATCTGTCTTCCTTGAGGCTAATCCGCCACTCTGATAGATGCTTTAGTTTTCATTTTTATTATTGCCTCCCTCTGAGTACTGCCAGATGTAGAAATTACATGTTAGATATATTCTGTTACTTCACTGAAGTGGAACGATTTTTTTTAACAGCATGGCATGACAGTAGCTGTAGTAGCACTGCTACAGATATTACATTAGGCCTAACGTAGCCTAGCTGGTAACCTTCAGTATTTTGAAGAGCTTCTGATAATTTACTAGCTGTAACAATACTGTTAATTTGTAAAAATGTGAAGTATGATGGGTAATCTGATCCTAAAATTTAGTGTGATCACATATCTTGATTTCTTAGGTATTTAATTAGCCCATAAAAAATCATAATTTGTGTCCCGTCTTCCACCCCTCACACCCAATTGGTCGCGTCAGATAATTGCCCCTTCTAGAGCCTGGTTCTGCTGGAGGCTTCTTCCTGTTAAAGGGGAGTTTTTCCTTCCCACTGTCAACAAGTGCTTGCTCATAGGTGCGAGGGTCCTCTTGGCGATTTCTCTCTATTATTTTACATCATAAAGTAATTTGAGATGACTATAATAGTGATTTGGTGCTATGTAAATACAGTTGAATTGAATTGAGTCATGCAAACATACTGATTTCACACTTCTTAAAAGAAAGGCGGTTTCCGAGAAAACGTAACTAATCAACATGCTGCTGGATGAATTAAAAAAAAGACTTGGACATTAGTGCTTGTTTACAACTAGCTTATAGAAACTGATGTTTTTTTCTTCGTGTGTTTACAATGGTGATAACAATGGACAATGTGGCTCGTGTTAGATGTCTGACCGCTGTCATTCTCAGCTCATGCTCTGCCACATGATCGCCTCAAGGCAGCTCCTGCCCTCTTGTCGCGTTAAAACAGTACAAGGCAGGTGGGCTGAACAGAAAGCCTGAGGCAGTGACCTCTCAGCACTTCAGTGCCAAGAGGAACAACGGACATTTTGCCCACGTACGCCAACCGGTGATGTCATTAGGATGTTACAGACGCTTGGAGTTGTTTAATTGTGATAATTATATTGCGCTGTAATATAAATGAGTTTCTTTCCAGTAGTACAGTTGTACTATAACTCTATTGTTTTTAGTAAACAGTGAAACTAGTGTGTAGAAATTGATGCATCTGAGTTTGCAGTATTTGGGCTGGAATGATGTGAAGAAAAGCTTTGATATTAACTCTAAGTTTATACATATCTTCTCTCATTAAATACATTTCAAACATAGACTCCACAAAAACGATGTTTAATTATTTTAAAAACATTTTTATTGAACAAGGTCAAATGCTGCCATGCTGGGTGTGAATGCGCGGTGTGAGTAAAATGAATTCTCTTACTCATGTTCATCGTGCTTGATCACGGCAGTGACCCGATGTTCAGTTTATAAGTCAGTATTATTTGTGACACATTTAAATAAAAATGGCTAAAAAAGCTGAATCATGTAGCGGGCAAACGCACACACATCTGTAACACTGTAATGTCACATTTGGTCCACACTGACACAGAAATGCTGTGTTGTCATTGTTTGTGAGCGCGCTCGGTTGTAGCGGATAGTCGCCGGTGGCTTCGTGCGTCCTTGTCACCTTAGTCTTTGTGCGCTGACCAGCTGGAGGTGACATGGCTCTTCTCATCTTTGTGTCCCACTTTAAGGTGTAAAGTCCCTCTGCAATCCCTTCCAAGGACGCTGCAGCTGCATCTTAGTTACACAGCGCTGTGCTCTCGAAGCGGCGGCAAATGTGAAGCACTTAAAGGTCCTCGAAGGATATATGTGTCAGTAGATTTGTCATCAGAAGCAGGGAATTATCACAGGGGCGAGATGAAAGGATTGTTTGAATATTGAACGAACACCCTCCTTTGTGTCGTGAGTATTGTTCGCATTAGAACTAATTATTTTAAGCTATTTCACAGGGCACTTTTTACTGCCAATATCAATTCAATACCTCTGATAGCGGCTGTGGGAGACACGAGGGGTTTCGCTTCACACATCCAATTATTAGAACAAAGATGAAACTCTAAGACCATAATACACTACAAGGTCCTGTGACCTAAAAATCATCTCACTCGTCGGTTTGAGTGAGAATAACACGAGATTCCGCACAAATTTAAAATGCCAGGCCGAGCTTTGCATATTTAGCATTATTAAAGGCCAGCTCATTCAAAGCTCATTTACTTCTAATTTTATCTGTAACCTTGACCAATGCTGAGACATTCCAGTGGGGAGGAATATGGATACAGTCAAATCGAGCTAATCCAAAATGGAGCTTGTCAGGATTTGTGAGATTTAGAAAAAAAAAAATCTATGTGTGATATATTCAGAATCTTAGATGCTCATTTTGGATTCAAGACTGCCCCGCTCTGTGTAGTTTGTGGCGAAGATGCATTTAGTTGTGTCTCAACACACAATTCAGAGAAAGTACATATTCCTGTCTCACTGTGTATTTTGTTCCCTATGCGTGTTTGTTTAGCTGCCGTGTTTGGATTTTCGGGGGCTTGCATAAACAAGGGTCTACTATACATATTCGCGGATTAGCATACGATCTATTTCTGGACCTGTAGTCCAGACTTAGAGGCTCTGTGTTGTAACAAATTCTAGTTAGTTAACAGGGTGATAATTCATTGACGTGCGCAGCGGTTTTTTGAACAGGAACTTTTGAGCAACAAAACCAGAGCAGGTAGAGATTCGGTATCATTGCTGGGAAAAAAAAATCAAATGTCAGATATATTTTAATATCGCTTTCCTATATATATATATTATGTGCATTTCCAGTCCCCCAACCATTCAATGACACGTTTGAGGCTGGATAACTTGTGTTTATGGTTGCCAGCGATCCAAACTTGCTTATGCCGTGTCTGTTATTAGTATGATGGTACTTCCTTTGTAGCCTTACTGCTCCCAAATCCTTAATAAGTCTGTTATTGGAACAGAGTGTGAATTAGACATCTCTGTGGTCTAATTGACCCCAAACATAATAGTACGGAGCAGAACATGTAGTAACGTGTAGAAGGTGTGCAGCTTGTAAATGTCTTTTTGGCAAATGTAGTTGATTATATCCTGATGACCAGTCGTAGATTATTTATGCATTTGCTGCCTGCTTCTGTTACAACAGAAAGAGTACAGCATTGATATCTATATATATATTTTTTATAAACAAATCAAATGTATTGATTTATCACTTAAAAAACGACAACAAAAACTCATCATGACTCATCTTTTCCCTACAGATCGACCCAAAGGTGGCGTTTCCCCGCCGGGCTCAGCCCAAGGTGAGTGCACCCTGAAGGAGTTAACAGCAAGGAGGAGTGGAGATGATGTCATGTGTCACCCCTAATAAGGGAGCCCTGGTTGGCTGGGATTAGAGTCAGGCACATGATCTAATTGGAGCTACAATCCACTTGCCCAGCCTGACACCATGACCCTGTGTACACAGGCTCCTGCACTGCCGCCTGTATACGTGCACACACGCACACACATGCATTTTCTGGCTCACACCTAAATGGATGCTTGCGCCGATTATTCACCTGCACACATGCTGCTCGCATGCACACGCCTCAGAGGCCTTAAATTGACATCAATTAGTCTGAATTCCAAGAAGAGCTTTAAGCAACCTTTGAGATTAGACAAACGCCAACCAACACAAAGTGTCTTTATCGCAGGGAGCTAGCACAGACCTAATGTTATTAGTGATAAAAGATACCTTCTTCTTCTTTTCCTTCTGCGCTGTTAGCTGGTGACCAGGACAAAGAAGATCTTTGTCGGAGGACTGTCAGTCAATACCACCATCGAAGATGTGAAGCAATATTTTGACCAGTTTGGAAAGGTAAAAAAAATGCACAAACCTACTAAATACTTGCAACCATCATGCTTAAGCCTTCACTCTGAAAAGCTGTCTTTCAGCTGGACTGCTGCTGCTCAACCTTGGTCTGACCTTGACTTACCCTTCATAGATAATACCCATCATATTAGATATATGAGCATTTTAGTGGTTTTTAAGTGGCAGTTGATAGATAGATATGTTGCAAAGCTATATTGTATCAATAAAGGGACAATAAATATCAATTTTTTAATAAATCATTATCATCTCACCTGATAATAGGGGGCGACCTTTTTGCAAGCAGTTGCACTCTGACTGGGACTGACTGGAATCACTCTCAGAGAGGTTTTTAGACATTTGCAGATAATTTCTATTTAATTTATAAATATAGACAGATTGCGTCGACTCAACTGGCTGCCGGCTGTTTGTATTCTGCAGAACAGGATGGCTGCTGAGCACAAATGTAATGGTTAAGTGTGTGCAGGCAGCAGACGATATGTGATTTTTTTTAAAAATTTATCACAGTTTATTGCTGTTTTATCAGAAACAGATTGTATATAACTGCAACATTATGACTTATGGCAACATTTGTGGCAGGTTTAAGTGACGGTGTTGGTGTGCTTGACATTAATAACTGAAGTGAGATAACTTTATCTTATTGGATAAAACAGATATTGGCTGTCTTGAGGACATAATTTGTAGTTGAAAAAAGGGTGATAAATCACAATATATGTTACTACAAAAGCTTAATATCTTATCGTGAGTGAGATATTGTGATAGTATTGTATCGTGTGGGTGTGTGGTGTTTACATCCTCTACTTTTAACCCAGATTTCTTAAGGTGGATGCTAATATTTTGTCAGCATTTGGCTGCTTGCAGCTCCTCTCTTAGTTTTAAGGAAGAATTAGCTTTCCGATTAGCCTAACAATTCCGTTCCATTAGCCAACACTTTAAACTTTTTACAATTTATGAGCGTTAAGGTGTTTCATCTACTTTTAGTTCACAATTTAATAAAGTACAGAAACATTTCAATCAGTTATTTTTGAAGTGAATCATTTTTCAGTGGTTTTCAAGCTTACTGTTAGCTTCTAACAAGTTTTCACACCATAAGTGGGGAATTGTTGTGTTCAGGTGTTACAGTACTTTGATCAAATTACTTGATAAAAATTGTATCAAATTACTTCAGCTTGCCCGCAATCTGTCCGTGTACCTTCTGGTAGCTGCATAAGCACACCCTGGGGTACCTCTGGTTGGGCTTGGCTGCTCTAATAGACTGCATGCCTTTGATAGATTATATTCATCTACTGACTCTGTCCAGCTAAAAGTTTTTTTTTAACTTTCCTTTCAAACTTTTTTTTTTTCCACAGAGAAAAAAAAACTTTTATGGCTTTTGTTTTAAGCATGTCCGTTTTTCGGTTCAAGTCGAGACACCTTAAAAAGAGAAAGCAGACCTATTTTAGGAGAAAAAGTGAAACGAAGGCACGCAGTGAAAGTGAAAGAAACAAATGCTGCGCTGTTATACATCCTTTTAACCTTAGCTAGCTTCTTCAGAAGTCCTCAGAGTGGGTTTCTCTAAAGAGTGCAAATATCAAAGAGGGGAAACAAAGAAAATGCTGTGTGGTCATCGGTGGTTCTGCTCCGTCAGCTTTAGCATGACTTAGTTTGTTAGTTTATCTCTGTTGTTGGCTGTTTTTGCTCTTTTCTGATCACATATTAGCATTTCTGGCTTCTGCATTTGGCCTGCTTAGCTCTTTTGAAAGAAATTTGGTGAAAGGCAAACACATGCTGTGGAGACAGATGAGTGGCCGGGGGTAGAGGGAGGTTAAAAAAAAAAAAGCAGGAGGGGAAGAGGGAGAGGGAGATGGCAGGGGACTGAAAGGGAAGAAGAAACCCCCCGTGGAGAGAGAGTGGGAGGGGAACTCAGAAAAAGGTTGAAGGGCAGAGGGAAGGAGGAATGCTGAGATAGTAGTGAGGGGCAAAAGTGATTATTAAAGGGGGGAAAAAAGGACCAATCTGATGAGAAATAAGTGTGTTAAATTATCCATAAAGCGTGGCATGTTGGGTTAGTTTTTAGCAAACTACTGTGTGCGCGAATGGAGATCAGCCTTTTCAGTATTAACTAATCAAATGCAACAGCTGCTCCTGTAACAGCCCCCCCACCTTACCCAAAATCAGTACTTCAGACACCCTCCCATCTCACACACAAAAACACACCCTGCTCTAGTCGCTCTCAGCTTGTTGCCGTGGTGACCTGCCTTCGCCCATTGTCCCGCTATAATCCAGTGCTTTTTTTGTGCGTTTCCTTTTAAAAAAAAAATGTGCGAGAAGTGTGTATTTGCATGAATGGAAAGACGGGCGTGCTCGTGAAAGTGTGACAGTGGCATCGTCGTGGATGCGAGCTTGCATGCATTTGTGCCCATGCAGACGGAGAGCGAGGCTCACAGCCGGCGATCCAGTTGTCACAAACATTAAGTGTGCGCCTCTGCCGCCGTTGGTGAGCAGGACAGTCTGAAAATGAGCATTGCTTCAGGATGTGGGCCTAATGGGTTGGAAGAAATTAACAGCACGAAGCTCCTTCTGCCTCGTGTCTGCCTGTGTTTTCTCTCAGTTGGCCTCTGACTCATGCTTGAGGTATTACTGTATTTCAGGTACTGGTTCAAATTTAAAGAACGCCGTTTAATTCCGGCCCGCGTGCTCACGGAAGACCTGGATTTGCGAGCGTGTGACCCGTGGCACCGATTCAGGTGGCTGTTGTGACATGTGACACGTTTCTCCTCGGTGCACTCGCTTAAAATGGCTGTTTGCAGTCTGTGTGCCGAATCATTTCTCCCCGGTGATTACAGACACTCATATCTAAGACAACACTCCCTCCGCAGGATGAGGGAATATTTGGACTGTTTGGACACGTGAGACCAAAGCTGTATCGTGGATAGCGGCGATCCCACAGTGCATTCCTGCTGAGCGGGAGGTATTTCTTGTTTATTATCTGAGCCTGGTTACAAGGTGCAGGTTTGGTTGGAGCAGGACTCAGTGTCCTGTTTATTTTCATACTGTGGTACCGCCTTGCAAGGAAAACACAGAATGCACTCTGCATTTTATGCAAGTCTTTGATATGTGCCGAAGTTGTTGTTGTTGTTTTTTAGCAAGCCTCTAAGAACACCTAGATAAACTTCACTACTTGGACTAGGGTGGCTGCTCGGTTGTTGACGCGTCAGGTGTTCTGGGCCAACCTGAGGAGTCAGAGGCTTTTGTTTACATGTGATTTCCTAGTTGAAAAAAATCTGAGGGCCTCTTGCTAAATGTTCCCAGGCCAATGAGACTGCAGCAGCCATGTTTCGATTAGAAGTCTGAAATGAGGGTCTTGTAATTTCCCTCAAGCTCATGTGGCTCTTTTTTCTTTTTTTTTTGGCCAAAGCTGAATATAAGATCTGTCCACACACAGAAGTGTGTTTAACATTTCAGGCATTAGCATTTCAGGCATTTTGGGCGTACAATCAGTTAGGTTTAATCCAAAGGAAATCTCTGTTTTCATGCCTGTTTACCCTGCCTCTCTGTATCCTACACGAAAAGCCCGATGATTTCAAATCTTCATTTTTAAGTAAACCCAGAGAGTAGGTTAGCAAGCAAACGAAGGAGCGGATAGGATGAAAAAAGCAGCATGGACAGGGCAGACGGGAAAAGTTGGGACTCCACTCACCCATGTGAGCTGGCGATTAGAAGGCTTGACTGAACACTTTGTCTGCTGGCCTGTTTAGAGAGAGATGGCCGGAGAGAGCGAGCGAGAATGAAACGAGGGAGGGAGATGTGAGGAGACGGCGGGGAAAAAAATGTGAATGCCACCTTTCATAATCTGGCAGAAAAGTGTAATGGACTTGTCAGCAAACACTTGTTCTTCAGTACAATAGCGGTACGCTTCACTAAAAAGCGGTTATTTTTAATGCCGCTCTCGGGAAGCAGCTCGAGATCTCGGCTGACCCTCGTTCTCTGTACATCTGAGAATGTCAGAACTATGAGAATATGACCTTAAGTTTACTTCGGCTCTGCATGCATGCTGAGTAGTTAGCGATAGAGCTGCTGCTAAGTCAATCTCAGAACTCACAGCTATCCAATCAGATTGTCTTACAGCACCCTGGGCAGTGGACATCGTGAGATCTTCTCCTTATTGGTTTTGGCAAAGGCGAGGGGGGCTGGTGTGTGGCCACAGTCTGCAGATCTTTCTGTTCTCATGGAGGACAATTAGCAGAACCATGTTTGCACTACTATACTGCTTATTATCTGTAATATTTTTCTGTTTCCAATACTTAAAATCTCCTCTGGCTGGCAGGGTTTGCTAATCTCTTCCAGAATAGATGTTGCTAATGCTAACAGGAGGACTAGCTGTGAGTGTAACTCTACTCTTATGATAACATGTTGGCCTGCAGCTGTCTACTTGCTGTCCTCTTCCCTGGCTCTCTGCTGTGTCATTGAGTCTGGATGACCGGAAGGCTGGAAGACATGAGGGGGAGAGGAAAGGAGAGGGGAAGGGAGGAGGAGGAGGGGGTTGCAGGATAAAAACTGAATGAAGGACAGCAAGACGAGCACAGGGGGGAGCTCTGTGTGTGTTTGCGTGTGTGTGTCCCATGCTATATGTTAACAAGGATGAGAGTGAGGAGGGCTGTAGACGCAACCTTGATCCTCTTTGCATATATCATTTTTCACTTTCGTTGGTGCAAACACTTGCACAGGCTTGATCTCAATCAGACGAGAAGGCGTGCATGTGTGTTTTTCATCTGAGATACGTTTTAGAAATCAAATGACCTGCCTACCCAGAGGCCTCAGGCACTCAGGTTACACTGGTTTGGGTTTCAGCACGCGCTGCCTAATGAAAATAGCCATGTGGTAGGGCTTTGGCATATGATATCATCGTCCCCGATAATATGGTTATTTTTGCTGATATAAAAACATCATATCGCGATATCATACATGCTACAGCAACGCCATATTGTCCCCAGTGCAAGCAGCAAGGAGACAGGCCCAGGCATGTCTGACAGCAAGAGTGGTAGCTAGAAAAGCAGCTGCTGCAGCACCCTCCAAGCAAAGCACGGTACTTTGAAAAAATGTGAGAAAATTAGACCCACTAAAGGTGGAAATAACAAACATGGCAAAAACACACCCTTGAGTACAAAGCAGGCTATGAAGCAGGAGATACTAGCAGCCCGTGATGTGGGACCCAACAGTAAACAAATGACTCAACCGAGCATGCTAGAGCACTCTCCATATGACAGGAAGAGCGAACGGCGGATGGAAATTACTGATGCGGTTACACGGTGTTAGAGCAGGGCTTTAAGCAGCTGATTAGAAAGCTCGACCCTGAGAAACAACAGGTAGAAAACACTTTCATCTTTATTGTGTGACAATACTGTGCAGGCTGCTGACAAGTTGCGAGGTTAAGTTACTGTAGTTACTGTTAAACTAAAGCACGACGCAGTTATTTTATAGTTTTACTTAAATGTCCCAGGGAAAGCACAACCTGGGCTAGTTTTGTGCTCACGTTTGAATTTCTGCTGTGTCACTGTATATACTGCTGTGTCACTCACTACCATTGCACTGTAATGCTCCTGCAGCTGCTGCTGGCACCTTGTTTCAATAGATTCACACTTGTAATTAGGAAGTGTATCATCAGTGACAGCAGCTCATTGGAAAAGAAGGTTGGTAAATGCTCTTCATTTACTTACACTTACAAATGCTGCCGCCTGCAAGCTGCGAGCGACGTTCAGTCTTCTTTTTAAATATATTGTTGTTTTCTTGAAATAATCATGATATAATGTTGAAGCTGTCCATGCAGTCACGCTCATGTGTCTCTGTTGTTTTGCTGCTAAACACTGAAAATGTGAAAGTTTTTACTTCCACCTTGATCCCAGGCCTTGGCTTCTCCGTGTGTCTCCTTATGCCGTCAGAAGCTGCTAACTTTCCTGCCAGTGAAGGACGAAGCAGGGAGGGAGGGAATGGGATAAAAAAAAAGGGGGGGGGGAGGAGGTGGAATATGAATAGGGCAGTGGAGTGAGTGCAAAAAGGAAAGTGGAGGGAGAAGTAGAATAAAAGGAGAGCGTGTTGACAAAAACCTCAGCTCACTTCGTTCTCTACTCTATAATCCAGAATGCTCACTGGCAGGCTTCCTACCTGCCATCAAGACTTTTAACTTTTTTCAATCTTCTTATTGCTGTTATTCATCACAGCATTATTTATCAGCCCTTCTTCTTTTCTCTCCAGCCATTGAAATGAGCTGGAGTGGGTGTATGTGCTTGTGGGGGGGGGTGAATTCTTCTAATTGAAATTCTTTGCATGGTCTCCATGGGAATGGTAAACTTTGCAGAGAGGGAAAGAAAGACAGCGAGGGTGAACAAACGAAAGCAAAAGAAGGGCGAGAGCGGGACAGAGTTTGTAAGAACTTGGGTGAAGGACGGAGGCAGAGCGAAGAATGGGGAACATTCAGCGCCTCTTTTTTACCGCTGATATATTGCATTTCATTTCATTTTTTTACACGGCGCCCTCTTTCCCCCTGTTTTCCCCGTCGCTCTCTTCCCCTCTCACCCTTCCATTCTTTTTTTCTTCTCTCCTTTGTCACCTGTCACCCCGCCCAAGTCTCTGCCCTCCACCCTCTCCATCTGTTTTCTCCTCTTACTCCGATGCTAAAGAGGGACAATGGCACCCCATGCTGTGTAATGATGTGCACGCGCGCGCGTGTTAAGATGTCCGAGCTCATCTATTCTGTGCTTTGTTCTCACAGGTCGATGATGCCATGCTCATGTTTGACAAAACAACCAACAGACATAGAGGTGCGTACCCAGAGTTATACTCAAATGTGCACCCGCCCGCATTATGTTGATACGCTTAAGTGGGACCACGATGGAGTCATTAGCTCTGGTGATCTAGCTAAAAAAAAATTCAAACAAACAAATTTTTCTTAACGTTGTCTTTCCCCCGCTCTCGCCTACTTCTGTTTATACAAAGTCAGGATCTAAGTTAAGACAAGTGGGGAAGGGGGGGAGAAAGAAAGGAGCAGGGTGGAGTTAGCCACGCCCTATCCCCCCTCTCCTCCATGATGCTAACACCTTAATTAACAAGCAAGACCTGTGAGGTTGGCCTCAGCTCTTTGGGTTGCACGTTACAAAAGGGAGACATTAAAGTGATCACATGTTTTCTGATGGCTGTGCTCGTTCTTCCATCTCATTATAACCACTCACATCCAGAGCCCGTGTAAAGGTGGAAAATTCAACATGCTTTCAAATGTTGCTCAAATGTTACAAGGGTTTCTTTAAGAGTTTTTTTCTCTCGCTCTTTTCCAGGTTTTGGTTTTGTTACCTTTGAGAATGAAGATGTGGTTGAGAAAGTGTGTGAGATCCACTTCCATGAGATCAACAACAAAATGGTACGGACGTGAGCTGTAAAAAATATTTAGAGCGTGGTTTACTCGGTGGTGTAGGGATTTGTTCCCAGTGTCCCAACTGCCAGACCGAATCATGTGGCGTAACTGTTGAGTGTCTTTATTTCAGTAGTTTTTTTTTTACTAACTCCCTGTTTTCTTTGCTTCAGGTGGAGTGCAAGAAAGCCCAGCCCAAGGAGGTGATGACGCCGACAGGCTCAGCCAGAGGCCGTTCCAGGGTGATGCCCTACGGGATGGACGCTTTTATGCTGGGCATTGGCATGTTAGGTAAAGTATTAAACAAACAGCAAATGCAGTATCTGAAAAAATCACTGTTAATCAAGTGCTAGCACTGATTGACACCATTTTTCTTTACGAAGACAGAAATAACAGATTATGCAAGTATGTGTGTGTAGCTTAGTTTTAGATTGTACTTATTCTAAAAATACTCAAAAAAAGTAACAGTAGAATAAACTCAGACATCTAGAATGTGGAAAAACACCGAAACGAGACATATTTCTGTATGTGTTGCTGATCAGAAATAACAGAAAAGGAACCAAATCACAACATTGACTCAAATTTCAGTAGTGCCTTGAAAATGTCTTCTGTGCATTAATTTAGCTGGGAATAGCTCAGCAATTTGAACGCATTTCTTAGGTTTCCTCATTCACACTGAAGGAGCTGCTTTAAAAATTAAGAAATGTCATATTGTAGGTGCACCCTCCGTTCAGAAATATTTAGGCTACGTAAGCTAAACGCCTGCTTTCAATGATGTTATTCTCTGTGATGTATCGAATGTTTAGAGGTCACGGACTGAAGGGCTCCACACGCTGGAGTAATAATACAGTATGAAGAGATCCTCATTGAGAAATCAAAACCGAGAGCTACATCAGCTGTAGTTTGTGGTTGTTTGATGCCCTCTACTGGCAAATTTCAGATCGTAATACATAATCTCAGTAAGGGCCTGTAAATGTCAGTGACTCATACTACTAGGTCTGGCTCATGTGTAATTCATCTCTAATGACCCCATTTCCCGCAGACGTTAAGCTAATGTGTACGCCTGGATCACCAAGTGTCCGGAGCTTCGCCTTAAATTTCAAAATATTCCGAGGTTGATTAAAATGAACCCCGGATGAGGGAAAGCAAAATCAAATAAATGACCTTAAATCACTCAGTAGTTAATAATAGCCATCTTTACTGTAACTCCTTCGTAGCTGCACTCTGTTGTACAAGAGCAGAGGAAATTAGCTTATAGGAGATCGCTTAGCTAACTGCCACTGCAGCAGGTGAATGTATGACTGCACTCTTGAGGTGGTTCCAAAAATAAACCTGGATAGATCAGATGGCTAGATCTGCCTGTGTGTACTCATCGTGATTTCTGCTCACACACCAAGCAGCCTCTCCTAAAACTCATTTTCTGAGTTCGCCATCATGCTCCTTTATACAGTCAATTAATCCTCTCTCTCTTTCTCTCTCCAACAGGCTACCCGGGTTTTCAGACTGCTACCTACACCAGCCGCAGTTACTCTGGTATCGCGCCCGGATACACCTACCAGTTCCCAGGTACGTCTGCATAAGCCACACAGCTCACTGACTCTCTTTAGGCCTGCAGACAGGGACAGAGTAAAGGCTAAAGGCTACAGGCTGCGGCATGCTGACAGTTTTTAACAGTGCGAGGCGAAACATGTATGAACAGCAACGGCCACGTGGCTAGAGGTTCATGTGCGCGCTCAGATTCGCGTGTCATGCCGCCTTCATTTCAGCTGCAGCAAGTGTGATTTTAAAGTGCTCTTGTCTGTAACTTAAACCCTCTGCACTTTCTGAAACATTGTCTTCTGTTTCGAATGTTAGTTACTGATGTTTTTTGCCTTTCATTTGTGATATTAGACCTTCTTCCTCTTATATTCTTCTTTGTTTATTTGATCTGCTTATGTAAGCCCCATTCAATTGGCCGTATCGCCCCTCCTTTTCCTTTGCTCCCACCTTCCTGCCTGTCCTTACAGTAGGTTTTCTTTTTTTGTTTTGTTCTCTTTTGTTTTTACTTTCTGTGCTCGTGCATCTGTGTTGACATTGTCTCTGTGTGCGTGTGTGCCTTTGTAGTATGGCTGGTGGATGGCGACTATTTACAAAGACATTTTTCTCTCTCTGGATCTTCTCTGTTTCTAGAATTCCATTTAGAGAGGACCCCCCTCCTGACATCATCCCACCCTCCTGAGCTGGCAGGTGAGTGTTGCCACAACCCCTCTGAGAACCTAAAAAGAAAACCCGAAGCTCTTTAGCAGCAGAAACCCAAGTTAAACCACGAAGACCATCTTTACTAAATGCAGCAACCCTGAATCACTGGGATACTTCTTCAAAAACAAAAGCAGCATAACCCAAAAAACAAACCTGTTTACTTTTACTTTTAAAATCAGATTTAGATTTAATTTTTGATTTAAGAAATAGTCTGCCTATGTACACGTGAGGCAATCCAGCAGCAGGTAGAAATAGGGTTCAAAGGTAATGCAAAC